TCTTTAATCCATCTGGAGTTAATTTTAGTGTAAGGTGTCAGGAAGGGGTCCAGTTTCTGTTTTCTGCACATGGCTAGCCGGTTTTCCCAACACCATTTATTAAACAGGGAATCCTTCCCCCATTGCTTGTTTTTGTCAGGTTTGTCAAAGATCAGATGGTTGTAGATGTGTGGCATTGCCTCTGAGACCTCTGTTCTGTTCCATTGGTCTATATCTCTGTTTTGGTACCAGTATCATGCTGTTTTGATTACTGTAGCCTCATAGTATAGTTTGAAGTCAGGTAACATGATGTCTCCTGCTTTGTGCTTTTTGCTTAGGATTGTCTTGGCTATGTGGGCTCGCTTTTTGCTTTCATGTAAAGTTTAAGGTGGGTTTTTCCAGTTCTGTGAAGAGGGTCATAGGTAGCGTGATGAGGTTAGCATTGAATCTATAAATTACTTTGCCCTTGCCCACTTTATAATGGGATTTTTTTTTTTTTGGTAAATTTGTTTAAATCCTTTAGAGATGCTGGATATTAAACCTTTGTCAGATGCATGGTTTGCATATACTTTCTCCCATCCTCTAAGTTGTCTGTTTACTCTGTTAATAGTTTATTTTGCTGTGCAGAAGCTCTTAAGTTTAATTAGATCCAATTTGTCAATTTTTGCTTTTGTTGTGATTGCTTTTGGTGTCTTCCTCATGAAATCCTCTCTAGTTCCTATGGTATTGCCTAGGTTGTCTTTTAGCATTTTTATAGTTTGGCATTTTACATTTAAGTCTTTAATCCATCTTGAGCTGATTTTTGTATATGGTATAAAAAAGGGGTCCAGTTTCATCTTCTGCATATGGCTAGTCAATTATCTCAGCAACATCTATTGAATAGTCAGTCCTTTCCCAATTGGTTGTTTTTGTCAGCTTTGTCGAAGATCAGATGGCTATAGGTGTGCAACCTGATTTCTAGGCTCTCTATTCTGTTGCATTGGTCTATGTGTCTATTTTTGTACTAGTATTGTGTTTGGATTGCTGTAGCCCTGTAACATGGAGGTCAGGTAAAATAATACCTCCAGCTTTTTTCTTTTGGCTTAGGATTGCCTTGGCTATTCAAACTCTTTTTTGATTCCGTATGAATTTTAAAATAGTTTTTTTTCTAGTTTTGTGAAAAATATCATTGGTAGTTTGATAGGAATGGGATCAAATCTGTAAACTGCTTTGGGCAGTATGGCTATTTTAACAATATTGATTGTTTCTATCCAGGAGCATGGAATGTTTTTCGATTTGCTTGTGTCATCTCTGATATATTTGAGCAGCATTTTGTAATTCTCATTATAGAGATCTTTCACCTCCTCAGTTAGCTGTATTCCTAGGTATTTTATTCTTTTTGTGGAAATTATGAATGGGTTCGCATTCCTGATTTGGTTCTTGGCTTGGCTGTTGTTGGTGTATAGGAATGCTAGTGATTTTTGTACATGGATTTTGTATCCTGAAACTTTGCTGAGGTTGCTTATCAGCTGAAGGATCTTTTGGGCTGTAACTAGATATAGAATCATGTTGTCTGCCAACAGGGATAGTTTGACTTTTTCTTTTCCTATTTGGATGTCCTTTATTTCCTTTTCTTGCCTGATTTCTCTGTTTAGAACTTCCAGTACTATGTTGAATGGAAGTGGTGAGAGAGGGCATCTTTGCTTTGTGCTGGCTTTCAAGGGGAATGCTTCTAGCTTTTACCCATTCAGTGTTATGCTGGCTGTTGGTTTGTCATAGATGGCTCTTATTATTTTAGGGTATGTTTCTTCAATACTTCGTTTATTCATAGTTTTTAACATGAAGGGATGTTGAATTTTATCAAAACCCTTTTCTGCATCTATTGAGATCATGCGATGTTTCTCTTTCATACTGTTTATGTGATGCATCACATTTATTGATTTGCATATGTTGAACTAGCCTTGCATGCCAGGAATAAAGCCTGGTTGATTGTGGTGGATTCGTTTTGTGATGTGCCGCTGGATTCAGTTTGCAGGTTTTTTGGTGAGGATTTTTACATCGATGTTTTTCAAGGATATTGGCCTGAAGTTTTCATTTATTTTTGTGTCTTTGCCAGGTTTTGGTATCAGGGTGATGCTGGTCTCAAATAATAAGTTGGGGAGGAGTCCTTCCTCTTCAACTTTTTGGAGTAGTTTCAGTAGGAATGGTACCAGCTCTTCTTTTTATATTTAGTAGAATTTGGCTGTGAATCCATCCACTCCTGGGCATTTTTTTGGTTGGTAGACTATTTATTACTGATTCAATTTTGGAGGCCATTATTGGTCTGCTCAGGGAATCAATTTCTTCCTTGTTCAGTCTTGGTAGGGTGTGTGCATCCAGGAATTCATTTATCTCTTTTAGGTTTTCTAGTTTGAGGGTGCATAAAGGTGTTCATAGTAGTCTCTAATGGTTTTGTTTCTGTGGATCAGTGTTAACATCCTCTCTGTGATTTATAATTTTGTATCTTTAGATCCTCTCTCTTTTATTTTTCATTAGTCTAGCTATTGACCTATCTTATTAATTTTTTCAAAAAACCAACTCCTGATGATAATTTCTTTTATCAAGATCTTTAATTGAACCACATATAAAGTCTACTTTTTCACATAAAATAACATATTTGGAGATTCTGGGGATGAGAATAAAATTCTTTGTGGGGGGCATTATCTGCATTATGTGTTATACTGTAACAGGTGAGTGCCATTTTAACCCATTTATGCCTGAGGTTGCAATTTTTTGAACTTTTGCAATTAGATCTTGGCGATGACCTTGAGCAGTAGGATATAAATAACTCCCACATGCTTAGCATTTCAATAATGGAACACTAGCCATAAACAGGAGAGCTCAGAATGAAGAAAAATTCATAGTTTATTTTATTATAGCATTCCCTTGGATTGGATGATGTAGGAGACCTATTTCCTCAAATAACTCCCAATGACTATTATTTATTTATTTTTCAAATAGATTTTTAATTTTTTTATGACAGTAACATCTTCATCATTATTAAGTTTGTAAAAGTATAAAATAGAAAATGGATAAAAAGTAAATAAAACTATACAAAACTATTAAAAATGATATTCAATTTCCATATGTGATCACTGATAATATTTTTATATGTATTATTTTCGTCATTTTATCCATGGCAATATACTTTGATATTTGGTATAACTTTGATTATGTAGTTTCATGTACTTTTAAAATTTGACTATGCTTTGATCATTACTCTATATTGTTAAATATATATTTAAAAAACCAATTATAATTTAAAATAATTGTGGAGTATTTCAATGCATGAGTATTCATAATTTATTTCTTTTATTAAAATTTTATCAGAAAATCTTTGTGGGCATATTTAATACTGTTAAATGAACTTAAAAACTGGACAAAAATTTTTATAAAGGAAATGAATATTTTAAAGCACATAATAATGCTGTAAATTGTCATCTGGAAGCATTATATGTGTTTATGTATCTTCCATGGTTTCTGAGAATGCCTGCTTCCATATGTTCTTACTAATATTGAATGATACTGTGCTCTTAAAAATATTTTCCAATTAAATCTATAAAAATTGGCAAAAAGAAGTAAAAGTCATCCAAATTGGAAAAGAGGAAGTCAGATTATCCTTGTTCACTGATGACGTGATTTTAAACCTAGAAAATCCTAAAGACTCCTCTAAGAGATTCCTAGACTTGATAAGTGACTTCAGTAAAGTTTCAGGATACAAAGATCAATGCACAAAAATCAGTAGCATCTCTATACACCAATAACATTCAAGCTAAGCATCAAATTAAGAATTCAGTCACATTTATAATAGCCACAAAATTAAAATACATAGGAATACATTTAACCAAGGACATAAGAAAACTCTACAAGGAGAACTCCAAAACACTGATTAAAAAAAAAAAATAGATGACACAGAAACAAATGAAAGAACATTCAATGATCATGTATGAGAAGAATCAATATTGTTATAAAGACTATACTGCCCAAAGCAATGTATAAACTCAATGCAATTTATATCAAATTACCAATGGAACAGAATAGAGAATAGAAATAAAGACACATAGCTATAACCAACTGATCTTTGGCAAGTTGACAAAAATATACAAGGAGAAAGGACACCCTATTCAATAAATAGTGCTGGGAAAATTGGATAGTCATATGCAGAAGAATAAAATTGGATCACTATCTCTTACCATATACAAAAACTAACTCAAGATGGATAAAATACTTAAATATAAGACCTGAAACTATAAAAATTCTAGAAGAAAACATAGGGAAAACTCTTCAGTACATTGGCCTATGCACAGAATAATTGACTAAGACCTTAAAAGCAAATACAAAAACCTTGAAAATAGACAAATGGGATTTAATTAAACTAAAAAGCTTCTGCACAGCAAAAGAAATGATCAATAAACAGCCAACTTACACAATGGGAGAAAATATTTGCAAACTATGCTTCTGACAAGAGACTAAATATTCAGAATCTACAACAAACTCAAACAACTCAACAAGAAAAAAGAAATAACCTCATTAAAAAGTGGGCAAAGGACATAAACAGAAAACCCTCAACAGACAGCAAATATGAAAAAATACCGAACATCATTTATTATCAGAGAAATGCAAACTAAAACCACAGTGAGAGACCATCTTACACCAGTCACAATGGCTACTACTAAAAATTAAAGAAAAAAAAAAATCCCCAACAGATGTTGATAAGGATGTAGAGAAAAGAGAATGCTTATACACTGTTGGTGGGAATATAAATTAGCACAATCACCACGGAAAACAGTATGGAAATTTCTCAAAGAACTAAAAATAAAATTCCCTTCTGATCCAGCAATCCCACTACAGGGCATATGTGAAAATGGAAAGATATCATTATATCAAAAAGATATTGGCACTTGTATGTTTATTGCAGCACTGTTCATAATAGTAAAGATACGGAATCAACCTAAATGTCCATCACTGGAGGACTGGATAAAGAAAATGTGGTATCGGCAGAAGTCCTTCTTGTCCTGGTTGCTGTTCCCATCTGAGTACCAGCTTCCCATTGCCCTGAGGGTGGGCAGGCCTGCAATGGAGGGAAAAAGGAAGAGGAGAAGGAAATTGTCCCAGATCCCTGCAGTGGGTCCAAGCCTCTCCTGGGTGGCCAGTCTTTCCGTAGGTTGCAGCACAATGCCAGGCAAGAGAAACGGAAAGAAATTAATCCCAATCGGTCAAGGTCGATTTGAGGGTCTGCTGTAGCTGGTGGCTCTGCTTGAAGTGAGGGAGGAAGTTTCCTCTGATCAGTAGAGATTGGAAAGTTTGTTGGGAGTGGCACACCACCAGGGGAAAGAAGAAGGGGCGAACTGCTTATCTTGAGGAGGTCAAACTCCAGAATCAGCTGCTGTGGCTTTGAAGTGGCTGAAGATGGTCACCCTCCACAGGCTTGTGCCCAGTCCCACAGCCTTCCTCCCCTATCCTGAGGGACTACTGTATTCCTTGGTCCCTGCTATTGTCAGGGACGATTGCATGGGCTATGCCAGGAAAGTAGGCTGGGTGACTGCAGGCCTGGTGATTGGGGCTGGTGTCTGCTATTGCATTTAGAGACTGACTACAGGAAGAAAACAGAACAAGGAAAAAATGGCTGAGGGTGGGTCTGGGCATGTGGATGATGCCAGGGACTGTTCTGGGGCCAGGTATAATGATTGGTCTGATGATGATGATGACAGCAATGAGAGCAAGAGTATAGTATGGTACCCACCTTGGGGCTGCATTGGGACTGAAGCTGGAACCAGAGCTAGGGTCAGGGCAAGGGCCAGGGCTACCCGGGCGTGTCGGGCTGTACAGAAATGGGCTTCCCCTAATTCAGATGATACCGTTTTGTCCCCTCAAGAGCTACAAAAGGTTCTTTGCTTGGTTGAGATGTCTGAAAAGCCTTGTATTCTTGAAGCAGCTTTAATTGCTCTGGGTAACAATGCTGCTTTTACATTTAACAGAGATATTATTTGTGACCTGGGTGGTCTCCCAATTGTTGCAAAGCTTCTCAATACTCGAGATCCCATAGTTAAAGAAAAGGCTTTGATTATCCTGAATAACTTGAGTGTGAGTGCTGAAAAATCAACACATGCTTAAGGTATGCATGAATCAAGTATGTGACGACACAATCACTTCTCACTTGAACTCATCTGTGCAGCTGGCTGGACTAAGATTGCTTACAAATATGACTGTTACTAACGAGTATCAGCACATGCTTGCTAATTCCATTTCTGACTTTTTTCATTTATTTTCAGCGGGAAATGAAGAAACCAAACTTCAGGTTCTGAAACTCCTTTTGAATTTGGCTGAAAATCCAGCTATGACTAGGGAACTGCTCAGGGCCCAAGTACCATCTTCACTGGGCTCCCTCTTTAATAAAAAGGAGGACAAAGAAGTTATTCTTAAACTTCTGGTCATATTTGAGAACATAAATGATAATTTCAAATGGGAAGAAAATGAACCTACTCAGAATCAATTCGGTGAAGGTTCACTTCTTTTCTTTTTAAAAGAATTTAAAGTATGTGCTGATAGGTTCTGGGAATAGAAAGCCACCATGATTTTTTGGTGAAAGTAAAAGTTGGAAAATTCATGGCCAAACTGGCTGAACATATGTTCCCAAAGAACCAGGAATAACTCCTTTATTGTGTAGTTTAGAAGCAACACACATTGTAAACTATTCCTTCTCTCCACCTTTTTTATATGGTAAAAGAATCCTTTCACCTGCCACTTTTGAATAATGAATATCATATTGTATCATCAATGCTGATATTTAACCGAGTTGGTCTTTAGATTTAAGATGGATGAATGAATGTCTCTACTGTTCTGAAAACATGGTTTGTTGCTTTTTATCTCGCTGCCTAGATTGAAATATTTTGCTCTTTCTTCTGCATAAGTGACAGTGAACCAATTCATCATAACTAAGCTCCCTTCTGTCATTTTCATTGATTTAATTTGTATATCATAAATAAAGTTGTATGTTAATGATGGAAAGGAAAAAAAAGAAGAAAGAAAGAAACCATCCCTGTTCTTCATTACCTAGTTGGAGAGATAAGAAACATACAAACCAAAAGATAACAGACTATCTGGAGCTTATACTGATGTTCCCTCTGAGAGCCCAGAGGAGGCAAAAGTTTCTGTGGAATGTGCTAGTCAGCTAAAGCTTCACAGAGCAGGTGGCAATTGAAAATGAGTCCTGAATGGAGTAGGGTGGTCAGGGAAGCACAAGAGCAAACAAGAAAGCAAAATGAGAGGAGAAAGGCATGAAAAAAGCAGCCAGGTACCAAAAACAGTCAGAAAACAACCAGGACAACAGTCAACAGAGAGGCAAGAGGGAGAAAAAAAAATTGGAAAAAGCAGAGAAAACACAGGTGGAGAGAGCTGTAAAAATAATCCCACAGAAAACACACAGACACAAAAAATCTTTTACAAGAAAAAAAAAGGGGGCCACATAAAAAACTCTATAACTGTGAAGGGGCAGTGAAAATGAGGCAAAAGCAAAACGGACACACCCAAACCGTAGCCACGGCCAAATACAAATAAGAAGCATAAAAATGAAAAAACCCAAACCCCTAAGCAAAAAAAAGAAAAAGAACAAAAACACAAAAAGTACAAGGACAAGCATCCCAACACCACCAAAGCCACAAAAAATAAAAAACAAAAAAAATATAAAGAACAAGCAAACGGGAATAAAGAAAAAAGAAGGAACACACAAACAGAAGAAAAGTATACGGAAGCAAAACCGAAATGCCAACAAAAACCAATCAATAAACAAGGAGAAAGCAAAAAAAAAAAAAGGCTACATAGAAGTATTCGAAGTAGAATTCCATTTTTTTGAGACTAATAAAACATATGTTTAAAAGGACATGAAAAACTAGAGTTATAGATATCCAGATAGGAACAGTAGTTATCTTTGGGTAGAAGGATAATGAGTGATCTTTACTTTTTTACTTTTTATTCATTTATGTTTTCTTATTTATCCAAAATGGGTATTGATTTTTAGGAAGTTTTTGAAAAAGAAAAGTGTTGGGAAGGAAGCAAGTGATTGATTGGAACACATACTGAATGGAAGAAATATTTAGATTAAAAATGAGGTAGGTTGAAGTTTCTTCTCTAAATGATAGATAAATGGTGAAGATGAGGCTTATTGTGAGGATTAAATGAGATAATATATGCAAAGTACTTAATGTTCTGGCACCTAGTAGTTCATTAAGAAAATTGAGCACCCTTAATTACCTAGAAAGCAGGGTTGGTAGTCTTTTGATTGACTTTTGCTTTGCTGGGGCATTCTGCCACGTTTTAGTGTCATTTAATAAATAATAGTAACAATAAAAGTTAACATTTATTAAGTGAAAAAAAAGAAGAAAATGTGGTATCTATATACCATGGAATGCTACTCAACCATAAAAAAAGAATAAAATCATGGCTTTTGAAGCAACATGGGTGGAGCTGGAAACCATTATCCTAAGTGAAATAACTCAGAAACAGAAAATCAGATACCACTTATAAGTGGGAGCTAAACAATGGATGCACATGAACATGGACATATAGAGGGAAATAATAAACACTAGAGGCTCTATGAAGGATGAGGGTCAGAAGAGGGTGAGAGCTGAAAAATTACCTATAGGATACAATGTTCAGTATTCATGTGATGAGTACACTAGAATCCCAAATTCCACCATATACAATATAACAATGTTCACTATTCACATGAGTACGCTAGAAGCCCAAACTCTACCATACACACTATATCCATATAGCAAACCTGCACCTGTACCTCCTGAATCTATATATTTTCTAAAACATAATTTGCATAATTTCAGAGTATTCTATTGTATGAATATGCATACTTTATTTCTTATATTAATGTCTTATTGATTGACTGGTAGAGACAGGATCTCACTATCTTCCCCAAGCTGGTCTCAAACTCTTGGCCTCAAGAAGTGCTCCTGCTTCTGCCTCTGAAAGTGTTGGGATTACCAGCATGAACTACCATGCCCATCCCTGAAATTTTATCTATCAAAAAAATTTGTGGGCATCTTTAATACTGTTAAATGAATTTAAAAACTGGACAATATTTTTTTAAAAAAGGGGTAAATATTGTAAAGCACATATTAATAGTATAAATTGTCATCTGGAAGCATTGCATGTGTTCATGCTTCTTCCATGGTTTATGAGAATGCCTGATTCCACATATTCTCATGTGTATTGAATGATGTCATGCTCTTAAAAATCTTTTCCAATTAGATATTTAAAAACTGTCTTCTCAATGATGAAGTACATTTTTTCCATGGGTCTTAGCCATCTTTATTTCTTCTCTGTTGAATTGTCTACTTGGCATGGCAAAACATTTGAAGTTTTACCATATTAAAAGTATACTTTCATGGTTTCTGTTTTTATCACTACTTGGAAAAAGTTATCCTAATATCAGATAAATCTTGATCTATATTTTCATTCAGTTCATTCATGATTTTACTTTTTACATTCAACTTATTAATTTATTTCAAATTTATTTTTCTATAATGTCCAAGGTGAGATGTAATTTTATTTTATTTTCTGAAAGGTAAACTAATTGTTCTAGAAATAACTTCTGAATTGTCTATCTGTATCAGTTAGGAATTTCTTTAGCATCATCAAGCTGAAAATGATGTACCTTTTCAGTAAAATGATAATCTCTAGCTTTTAATCAGAGTGTATGGACCATTTATATTTGTAATTATTAATATGGTTGAATATAAATCTACCTTTATTTGTTTGCTATTTGTTGTGCTATTTATATTCTTAAAATCCTTCTTCATTTTATATCGTTTTAGTATTTTATTTCAACTATTGATTTATTTGCTATTCTTTTTGCAATTTTTCTTAGTGATTGCTCTAGTGTTAAGAATATACATTTTAAAACATTAGAGCCAACTATGAAATAATGTTATACTACTTCACATGAAATGTAAGACTCTTACAGCAGCAGCATTTTAGTATTTTTTTCCCTATTCTTTGGGCTTTCACTGTCATATATTTTATTTCTGCATATGCCCCAAGCTTCACAATGCATTATTGCTATTTTGCTTTAAGCATAAAACCAATTAACAAATGAGCAAATATATTTTTATTTACTTACATATTTACCTCCTCCAGCACTCCCTTTCTGTAGATCTGAATTTTGATATGTTATCATTTTCCTTCTACTTGTAGAACTTTTTTTTAACATTTGTTGTAGTGCAGGTGTGCTTCTCACAAATCCTTTAACCTTTTGTTTCTTTAAAAGCTCTTATTTGAGGAGTGACCTACCAAACATGGCAAAGTAGGAAGCTCCTGACTCTCCCTCCATCCATGGGTGGACCATAACATGAAACAATTACCTTCAAGAGAAGGTGAGAGACCAGTTAAGAAACATACCCACCAGGCAACTGAGAAAACATTCACATCAAGTAGGTAGGAAAAGCTGAGGCATATTGCAACATGGACCTCACCCTGGGCACTGTACATAAAATTGAGAAAGGAATCCCCAACATTCAATTTCTCCCTGTGAAGAGGAGGGCCTTTACCTCACATGTAGAACTGTAACCTTAAGTTTTGTCATCGTTTGAGTCTTAATTTACCAACTATGAGATTAGAGAGGATTAGACATATGCATGACCCTCTAGACTGTACCAAAAAAAAAAAAAAAAAATCAGTGGTTTTATACAAGCATACGAATACCTCCAGAGACCATCCACTTGGGAGCAGTGCAGATAAGAGGCTTAACACCCACACTCCACCTCTCTGCTTTCCTCCTGAAGGAATTTATAAAATACCCCTCCAGCATCTCCCTGGAGGCTTGGCTTCTAAGTAACTTGCATCAAAGAGATAACAAGACAGTCAATTATTAACCTGCCACCAGCCTGGGAACAGTTTGTGCCAAGTACTGTAACTCTTATGACATCCATGTAAGGGATTGCATCCTAAATCTCCTAGCTCTGAGACCAGAAGGGACTGGTATATGCATGTCTCTCTAGGCCACAGGAAAAAAGTGATGACTTTATACACGTACACAAACTCTTTATAGGACCTCCATCCCACTGGGATAAGTGATAGATTGTTCTTTAAAAACACACACTTTCTCTCCAGAAGGTGTTTACAAAACACCCCTCCAGCAGCTACCTGGTGGACTGAATTCAAACTAACTTACAATCCAGCGCGGGAGGAATTCACACTCACACTTAGAGTTCCAACTTTTACAACATCTACCTAAGGAGCTGCATGTTAAGTCTCTACTAGCTCTGAGGGCAGAAGGGATTGGCATGTATTTCTAGACTACAGGCATGCAGTGCCATGCCTGGCTAGTTTTGTTTGTATTTTTTGTAGAGACAGGGTTTTGCCATGTTGCCTAGCCAGGTCTTGAACTCCTGAGTTCCGGTGGTCCACCTGCCTCAGCCTCCCAAAGTGCTGGGATTACCGGTGTGAGCTACTATACTAACCACCAGTGTTTTCAAATAGGTATGCAAGCACTTTCAGGGACTTTACCCCTCTGGAGAAGTGCAGAGAAGAGACCTGAAAAAAATGCAACTTCCTGTTTCTCTCCAGAAGGGGTTTGGGACACACAATTGAGAGCCCCAATTTTTAAAACTACCTCTTAAAGGACTCCTTCCTAAACTAGTAGCTCTGGGAACAGAAGGAACTAGGCATATGTGA